TGGTTTCACATGGGGCGTAAGATGCGTATGCGTAACTTGCGTCAGCCAATCAAATCGTCTCAGCTACTATACGCGTATGATACGATTAAATACTAAGACGATTTGATTGGCTGACGCAAGTTACGCATACGCATCTTACGCCCTATGTGAAACCAGCCTAAGGGTGCCGTCACATGAACTGGGGCTCGATTCTCTAACGACAAACGTATGCGCAAACTCTGCTCTAACAGAAAAGCTGCAAGCTTATTGGCTAAAAACTGTGCGATAGCCAATCAATTTGCAGCCTTTCTGTTAGAGCCAAGTTTGCGTATACGTTTCTCGTTAGAGAATCCGGGCCCTGATATTTTCCGCGTAACGCGTATCACGTAACCAATCAGAAGCGCGAATATGTGTAACCGAAAATGCGAAACGTTCTCTTCTAATTGGTTACGCGGTTACGCTTTAGGGCCGGGACACGAACATTGCCGTAGCGTCTTAGGCTGGAGTCCCATGGCATGTATTTTCCGCGTAACGCGTAACCGCGTAACCAATTAGAAACGTTTCGCATTTTCGGTTATGCATATTCGCGTTTCTGATTGGTTACGCGGTTACGCGGAAAATACATGCCATGGGACTCCAGCCTTACGCCACCTTACGTGAGAATTGCCTTACGCCACACGTAAGCCAAACGTACGGCAACGCACATAGAAAGTAACGTAACGCATGTAACGTATGATATGTTACGTTACGTTTTTCTATGTGCGTTGCCGTACGTTTGGCTTATGTGTGGCGTAAGGCAATTCTCACGTAAGGTGGCGTAAGACGCTACGGCAATGTTCGTGCCCCGGCCCTTACGCGAAAAATACGTGCCATGGGACACCAGCCTTAAGGGGATTCTATAGCGAAGGCCGAACTTCCTTGACGTCGGTAATGTCAACATTTCTAATCCTGTTTTCTATGTTATATATCTATGTCTGTCCTTGTCAAACCAGAGGCATCTGTCTTTGTTCGATTGCTGCGCCATCTCTCGCTACACGCAATACTGCTTATCCTGTCAACCTAAATGTGCTTTTGCTTAATAAAACTTCATTTTACGGAATCTTTTTTTCTAGACGTTGAATCTTAGTTTTATTTACACGATATTGTTCCTACATGTTGTCCCTACGTCGCCTTGGTGTCATTATATATATATAAACTGCAGTAATTTTGTTATTGTCGTCAGATGACAGTTGTATGTGCCCAAATTAGTAAAATTTTTAATTTTTTTTTGTTTCCGATATGAAATCGTACAACGCGATGTAGATTTTTGTGCGTACTTTAATTCTAGACCAAAAACTTGCAATTCTGTAAAGCCAATTCAAAAATTCCTTAAAATGAAAAAATGTCGGTAACTACCGCCACTATAGGATCCCCTTAAGAGTGCCATTCTAACTTTAGTTAAGACTGTGTTATGTAAAGTACTCTAAGAGTCAACTAAAAAGTCAACTTTAAGTCGACTTCTACCGAAACTGACTTGGCAGAGAAGTCGACATTTTTAACCCTTCGCTTGTAACGTCTTTTTCGGCACCTGTAACTGGTAACGTCGGGTCACTCTTTTCTTACGCCTAAAAAATACTTTAAAGTGTTCTAAAAAAATCTAAAAAAATTTATGTTACCTTATTAACTATCCTACTTTAAGGATCAATCGCTATATTGCCGATTTTTTCATTTGTTTAAACAATCCTCCCCCTCTCCCTTCGAGCTACAGAGGACAGTCACTTTCGCCAGGGCACGAGTGACCCGACGTTACAAGCAAAAGGTTAAGGACGAAAGTCGACTTCAAGTCGACTTGAAGTCGGCGAATGTCTTAAAAACCGCCGATTAAAAGTCGATTTCCCGTCATGATAAAAAGTCGACTTCCGTCATGACTAAAAGTCGACTTCCCGCCAACGTTTTAACGCCGATAAAATAAACCGCCGCGTACATCTGGAGGTCGATTGTGTATTTTGAAACAATTGAGATGAAAATTACAAAAGTAAACAGATTTTACTAGATTTTGATAAATAAAATCGTAGATACGCTAAGTGAATTTTCTCCCTTTTGTAATTTTTACCTCATTTCAAGATACATAATCGACCCTCTGCTGGAGAAACTATTGGAAGTATCGGAGGAAGTCAACGGGAAGACAATTAATGATGACGATCGACTGTGAATGACGACGACGACGATGATATTTCGTGGCGGTGGTTGATAGCGCGGCGCTTTACGACGTCTCATCGTGTCCTGTCTCGCGGCACGTATTCTTCGCACTCGTTCCTCATCTGCTCCTCCTCGAGATTCGTCGTCATATTGATGATGCATGACGCGCCGCTTAATATAAAATAAAAATGACTGCTAGACTGTTTTCCGTCTCTTTATAAGTCGCGACTATTTAGAAGTCGACTTTCCGTCATTTTTAAAAGTCGACTGGAAGTTGTCTTTTACAATTTGTAAAAGAATATTTTGTTTCTTAACTTTTGTCAATAAGTGTATGATTAATTTTTTTTAATGATTACTTCATTGATTGTAAAAAGGTAAAATTATTATTTTTCACAACACCTCTACGGAAAGTTCGACTTTCCATGCCTGTAGAGAGGGGCGAAAGCGGCCAATTTCACGCCAGGGCGGCATAGCGGGCGGAAAGTAACCACTTTCCTCCCTAGGGAGGAAAGTGACCACTTTCGACCCTGTTTAGCAGGACAAAAGTGATCACTTTCTGCCCTAGGGAGGAAAGTAAGTTTTGGCTTAAAATTGACCACTCTCGCCTCTCTCTAGGCATGGAAGTCAAACTTTCCGTAAAGGTATTGTGAAAAATATCGTGTGCACCTCGGGGCGAAAGCTTTTTCAGACTCGTGTGATTGCCGCCCGAGCCGAAGGCGAGGGCGGCAATCTTCACACTCGTCTGAAAAACACTACTTTCGCCCCTTGGTGCACAATATACTATACCATATCCATGCACCATTAACTTATGAGGATTATTTTTGTTTGCTTAAAACGTTTCTTTCTTGTAATAAGAGAATTAATATAAATAAAAATGTAATTTGCGATTTATTCGACATGCAAATGTAGTATTTGCTTTCCATTGTTTTCACTTTTTGCGGAAAAATCTATGACCGTATAATTTACATTAAAAGTGGATTACTATCAAGACCGTTTTAGTGCAAACGATAGAATCCAACGAGAGATATAGGGAATAAAAATTGTTAACTCCTAAAAGCAGATATTTACCTTTTACAAATGATATTTGACAATGATATTTGAAATTAGATGCTACAAATCCTCGAATTAAATACTTCTTTTCTTATACTAACATGTAAATATAATTATCAGTTCACACAACTTTACACATTAGTCATCGTCGCACACGTCGAGGAAAAACTTATCGAAATGCTTATCGATTGCAATTGCCTTCCGCGGTGAAGTACTTATGAAAAATTCTGTTCATACATACAGCTGAAATTACAATAAAATTAAAAGATGAGGGGAAAAAGAACGATATATCAGCGACATATTTTCTCACATAAGATAAATACGCTACCTATCACAGAATTGTGTATGCCAAATAAACAAACGCATTCTGAAGGTGCATTCTGAAGGTACTATAAAGATAGTGTGATAGTGATAATCATTCACGTACTCTCTAAATCGCATAGAGTGTATGGTTTCGCTACTAATATATTAGAGTGATTGCGATAGTCACTTCAAAAGAGAGAGTTGTCACTCTAATTTGAGTAAATGCGGGCACTCATAAGGGTGAATTTTTCACTCAAATTTTTAGAGCGCCTACTCTACCGGATCTTTCATTTTAAAGCTATAGTGAATCACGATTCACTAAAGAGAGACTGGTAAATGACTCTACCAGAGTAAAATTTTCTACTCAAAATTGTAGAGTCGTAGAGTGACATAATTCACTCGTATAATATGGATACTTATCTACTACACTCGAAAAGAGTGCTCTTTCACTCAAATGGAGTGCGATTTCATTCCAAAACTTATAGAGCGCAATTTAACTCTTTCATAGAGTGGCAAATCACTCGAAGTGCGCAGGTTCAGTTTTCACTTTTCGTTACTTGCATCTCACTTTTTTTTTTTTTTTTTTTTTAGTGATATTTCCACTCTCCGACTTTTAGAGAGTACTTACCTTAGGAATGCGATAACATCGAGAACCCTTAGAATATGGTGTGATCATCATCCACGTGCTTATTTTAGGAAGGTGATAACACTAGAAATCTCTTAGGATGGATCATTTAGACTAGAGTAAAATTTTCCAGAAAAGCGATAAAATCCTTTTTAGGTCCTGTAAAAAGAGAAATCTCAGACTGAAGAAGCAGTTCTCAGCAGTTTCTCGACAGTTCTTCACCTCGCAGTGCGTATTTATGACATAGTCACTTTAGTGTGTAAGTTTAAATCTATTGTAAGTAAAGTTATATAAATTCCTGCGATATAAATTCCTTTTTTGTGGAATAATAATTACCCATAGTAGCAAACGCTCACTGACTCTCGACGTAATTGTCCACAAAATAGCTATGTTTAAAAAGCTAAAAAGCAAGACAATAATATATCACACCCCTAGGAAAATACTGTCACAATTCAAAGAAATTTTGATTTTGAATTAAGCCCATAAAAAGTATGCCTAAAATGTTACGTGCTATAATAGTGTCACAAGTTTATAAGTGATATCCGAATACGGCAGAAGTTATTCTTTTAAAATTGACACCGCAACTTGGACAATACAACGAACAATAAAAATACCTTTGATAAAGACACGTAATATTGCTTCACTTACAAATAATTGAAAATAATGTGCACATGCTAGTGTCTTTCATGCAATAATACAGTACATGTATTTTCAAGCAGTACTTTCCAGAATTTTTATTTCTAATACATCTCACAAAACCGTTGTGAAAAGCGTTAATAATCTCGTTAGTTGTCATTATTGCCTAAATATCGACGCAACTGCATAAATAGGAAATTTGCAGGGAACGCACGCGGAACAGTCTATCATGAGTCTGCTAAGTACGAAGACATTTCTGTGCGTTATAATCAGTTTGACAGTGTGTCAATATACTCAAAGTCAGTACATCGTATTCGACAATCCCAGCGATGTTACTTTTCCTGATGATGATGGTGAGCAAAAACAAAAATTTTTAAAATCTTAGTTAATTTGATCAACATATACGATTTGATTATTGCTTGCTGCAAGTTTATATTATTTTTCCTATATCTAAATGTGTTTTTTTTTTCTGTAATAAAATCCGAATAAAGTTGTAGCATCGTTAACTTGCAATCTAATGATTACGATAATGTAATATTTAAATAATTCACTTTTAATAAGATATGTAATTTCATGTATGACTTTTTCACACATAGTTCTTAGTATTTCCACCAAAATGACAATGAGCATCTTATTTTTTTCGCTACACTGACATTTTTTCTTAAACGACGGATGAAGACTCGGTTAGAATAGTGGGCGGACATTATGCGGGGCTCGGAGATTTTCCATTCATGGCAGTGGTGCATCGACTCGTGGGCAAAGGAATAATCGGGAGTTGCGGCGGCACGGTCATATCCAGAAGATGGGTTCTCACAGCCGGCCATTGCGTAGTAGACTACCCGCGAAGATTTTTCGTAGTGTTCGGTATCGTCGACAAATCTGGAGTTGGATACAATTTTCTGCAAGGCCCCGGTGTGTCGATGATTACGAATCAAGCGATTCCACATCCGCAATACGCAAAGGCCTACAATGATATTGGATTACTCTACATGCCACAAGATATTCCCTTTTCCAGTAAGTACATTTAAATCGATATTTTTTTTCCTTTTTTCTTTTGCGTTTATTTATTTATTTATATGTCGGCATTATTTTATTATTCTACGGAAAAGTTAATAATGCGGAAAGTTAATAACAACTTGAATAACAAATAATCTTATAAATGTGAAAAGGAGACTCAATAAGAAAAAATCTTAATGTGTATGTACAGCTCTTTTTATGATCTTTGATACACACTAAAAAAATATCACAAATCACTATTAAATTACTAAAAAAATATTACTAACGTATATCGTGCCTCAATGTTTATTTTAAGAAACTATTAGTTAAAAATATAATATTGTCCAATTTTAGGAACTATTCAGCCAATAAGACTCGCGTTTTATGACGAAAGTTTTGTAAACAGAGATGCTCAAGTGCTCGGTTGGGGAAGAGATCGTATGGGTGGCGATGGTACTGTAAGACTTAAGTATGCTACATTGCCGATTATAGAAAATAATGTATGCAAGAGATACTGGTCCATCAGCGACAAGCACATTTGCACGGCCGCAGGTTTGGGACGAGACGCTTGTCAGGTAAAGTAATCACAAATCATACAGTTATAATTTATAATAATACACTGCAAAATAAATTATAAGTATAAGTAGAATACTCTAACGCGCAATATGAATTATATTGAATCATTTTAAGCAACTTTAATAAATAAAATTTGAAAGTATCTCTGTGTTTTCGTAAATTTATTATTTAATATTGTACTTTTAGGGCGACAGCGGTGGTCCTCTCATCGTAAGAAGAAATGGCCATGCCCTTCAAATCGGTATTGTGAGTTACGGAGACGCATATTGTCCTAGCAACTTACCTGGAGTGTTTACTAAGGTTTCTCCATTTATAGACTGGATTCACAGAGTTATGAAGCTATATTAATGCATAACTTTAATATCATCGATATGATCAATAATTTAAATGTATTATGTAATGTCTTATAATAAACACAGTTGTTTACAAAAAATGAACATGCATTACATGTATATTTTAATATTGATTTGTTAATACTGGTACATTTAATATCATCGATATGATCAGTAATTTAAATGTATCAGTATTATAAGTCAATATTAAAATGTAGATTTAATGCATGTGCATTTTTTATAAAAAAAAAACTGTGCTTGTTATGAGACAATATAAAATACTGCACTTATAAAATTATATATTCAATTATATACAGTAGACCCCAATAAAACACGGGTTCATAATGTTCATATAAGATAGGTTTATATAACACGGATCCGTATTACACGACAAAAAAATTTTAATATTTGTTTTAAAGTATAATAAAAAATATTATACTGTTACATCTGTAATATTTATTTTACATTTTTTATAATAAATCTTTATATCACTTTTATAAATATGCATACATTTCCATATGCATACATAATGCATATGTATATGTATATATGTAGATACTTGAATGATAGCGATGTTTTTGTAAAATTTGAAGAAAATAAAATATAAGAAAAGATGTTAATTGGCCAATGAACGAACGAGAACTCGGCTTGGCCGTTTTTGATTCGCCGATCATATTCGAGTTGTCGCTAAATCGTTTAGCACGTCTTTCGAATCGCGAGGCGGTTGTTTGTCAATGTATTGATCTGCTGACTAATATAATGTTTAGAAACGTCGATGCTTTGCTCGGTCTGTCTTATCTTAATATTGCGCGATTGTAATATTTCGTTTCTATATATTTCATTTCTACACTCGGCCGTCCTGACTCTGAAATCTGACCTCAACTTTTGACTGTCAGAGTACTCGAGAGAGTACTCAGCTAACCACTGTCATATAATCAACAGACGTCGAAGTCTCAAAAGTCCTTCATGATCGTCTATCTTTCTATAACTATCTATCATTACGTAATGCTATAAATTATTAACAAAGGCGGATGGTGACTTCATTGATCATTGATGACGTCAGAAGTGAGAAAAATATCATAAAAATTCTTGCAACATACATTAAAATAAAAATGTTTTTTAATAAGATACCGTTTGCAATTGATAGAATAGACTTCTAAAACATACCGAAAACTTCTCTTTTGTTTAAGTAATCCACATATGTCGAATTGAATTATGCCTAATCAATTAAGGACGAAAACAACCCGTTTTACAGCTGCCGAATTGAAATAAATATTTGCTTTCACATATTAAATTATAATTGTTGTTAAATTATTGTTAAACAATTTATTAGATTAACTATTATTAGACATTTATTTTAAATATAAAAACACTACACTAGAACGAAAAATACCGCTGTACGTAGCAAGAATAATTTAGCTTTTTAACGTCATTTTTCACTCTTTTCAGCCTAATTTTGCTAGATGTGACATTGTGTGTACTATCATCGCAGACTTGGCAATCGAGCCAAGATAGGAGCCTTAAAAATACAGAATTCGTTGATGTCCACTTCTCCATGTTTGCGATTAATTATAAAATAACTAATAATATCGCAAACAAACAAGCTATACGTATACATTATATCTATCAAAAAATTCTCGATAAAAAGGCTATAAAAAATGGCCGACATAAAAGAGGATGGACAAAATAAACACATGATTTCTTTAAGAAGAAATGTGCAGTCGCTGGAGCATTGTAAGATCACAATAAGGAATTAGTTTAAACTTTTCGTGTCAATCATTCGGGCAATCATTACCGCGCTGTTCTAAGCTGTGTGCTGAGGATTGCTTTATGTTTCGCAAATTATTAAAGAAATAACCAAGTTAAATCAGAAATATATGTTTCCTTATTTATATATAGCAGTAATACAATCACTTATAGGCTGGGTTCGTCTTGACGCTTTTAGCGCTGTAAGCATCATTCTATCTTCGTTGCACATCGAATATCAAACGAGGCTAGAACGATGCTTTCAGCGCTAAAAGTGTCAAGACGAACGTAGCCATAATGGTACAAACCGGCGATATTAATAAATTAATTATAAATCAAATTGGAATTGTCGATATTATAGCATTCGTTTCTGCCTCTTGTACAACCCTTACGTCAAGATAATGACAAACTGTCAAGCATCACGTATCAATTTCCATGCTCAAAATCTATCCCTCGGTTATCCAATTAAAATTCGAGTAAAAATCTCGCGGGGTCTAAAGAATTCCTAAAATATCGTTTGACGTGTATAACGCTCTCAAATGCATGATTAATGCCTTAAGGTAAAGGTACCAATACCCGGACACTTAAGCATAGGAAATGTACCAATACCTGGACACGTATCTGTCTGGATACCTTTAAAAAAATATAAATTTATGAAAATAAACGCTTGGATATTATAACTGAAGTTTCAAATTATAAGAAAAAATACTTTTATCTTTGATTTTAATTCGCGTTATACTTATAAATAATAAAGGTGTCCGGATATAGATACATGTCCGGGTATTGGTACCTTTACCTTAATTAAAATTTAATAATATATATCTGTTACGACTTACCGTTAGAAACAGCTACTTACCGTTCGCATATCCTGATACCGATGACCAGTAACCGCTATCGTATGACAATCCAAAGAACAATAACTGTCATGTCGTTTGTTGCGCTGAAGATCATTACTTTCAACTTAACAATTAAAGATTTCTCTTTTATTTACAATGCCGATGCGATTAACAATTATCTCATCACTTATATTGTTTTTTTTACGACTAGCAGATTCAAACCTTTGCATTTTCGATTTAATAATGAAAAAATTTTAATTATTTTATCTATGTTGATTTATGCAAAAGTTAATATTCGAGCTTCCGATGTGACTAATAATAAACAGATTTATATAATAAGATAAAGACAATAAAATCTTGTAATATACAATACTCTCTATGCTTTTAAATAAAAAAATTTGCTAACGTTAAAGGGTAATTAAAAATACAAAATAGCGAAATATTTTTTTCAATTAGACGGAAGATGTATTAAGTCAGAAAATAAAGAGAAAATTACGGAAAATGGTTCATCGCATCATATGTCATGCATATCATATTAGGTGGCGTTGTGGAAGGTAAAGAATGACAAAGATTGACAGAATTCTTCTAATAATGTACATATGCATAATCTATACAAAATATTATACAAAACATTATCGCACAACTTATAATCAATATCGTACAATTCGTATTTTCAATGCTCGCCGCTGACAGCGCGGACATATTTTCGTTTGTTTGACATATTACACAGGCGCACGTAATTATTAATCTCCCCGCTTGTACGTACCGTGTCTCTAGATACGTACATCGAAATCTCGTCTATGTAATATGAAGACTTCCTTTCGCTCCTCAACATTACTAATAAGCCATTCCTCAGACGAAAAGACTAATAATATAAGCCGTTTACTTTCAAAATAGTGTAAATTCAATTTCATGAATCTCGCTAAAATTATAATATATTAATATTATTATACATTGCTTACATATCCGTAAGTCTTTTTTAATTACTCTCACTATGTTGGAAGCAGACGACTCATATACTCGATATTGCACGCGCGTATTCACTACATCGTTCATAAATATTCTTGCAGAGCATCTACAACGCAATGCTATAAAAGAGTGACGTTGACAGATATACATGTACAAGTAAACTTTGCACGCACTAAATATCACATTACGTACAGCTGTCTGTCTTTTTGCGAGGGACTAGTTTATTTCCGTTTTGCGTCGACGAGAAACCGTCAACGAATTTTAATTATATATATAAAACTAACTTATTTACGACTCCTGTACAGTATTGCACAGATGCAGCTGTCATGCACGTACGCATATGCGCGTATTGGTACAAATTTGTGTTTTGCAGTTTCTCCCATCGAGGAATTGCATCTCTATTTCATTATCTCTACTGTTTCTTCTAACCTCACTCACGCATATATACATAAAGAATATAAGACGTCAATGGCAAATATACTTCTCTAAAATCATAGCCCTGCAGCAATTTCATTACGATTCTACAAAATTTCAGAAAAATAAAAAGAAAATATGAAATTTTGTTTCGTAAATAAAATATAGCTCTATAAATGGACACAAAGTAAAAATTTGCCACTGACGTCTCGTAATTAAGACTAAAACAGATAACGACTGCAATTTCCATAGAATTTGAAACATTACGCTAGAAAAATAACCGTATTTCTTATTTTTATCCGGAAACATAATATAATAATTCTCCATGTAAAAAAAGAAATAACAAAAAATATCTTATATATTATAATCTTATATTATATTATAATCTTCATCAAAATGATAAGAGATTTGTCACGGATAAAAATTATCTTTTGATGCAATTCTGCTGTTATTGATGCAGCTGTTATAGCACAATCAAAATAACATTTGCATAAATAATAGCCAAAACTTAAAATTTCAGTCGTTACCTTTTCGTTTCCTTAATCGACCATATAAATTTTGCAAGTTTCACTTGCACCGCACAAGATTTACCATACAGAACGCAAATCGACGTAATTATATACATATGTACAACTTAATAAAAATATTTCAAAAAGACAGAAAGAAATAACAATGCACACAACAAGATCAATACAATGAGAGAATTTGACAGTATAGCCAAAATTCTCACCATTTCATTCACAGTCATATTGTGGCTATTGTGCAATAAAATGTAAAACGCACAGTAAGGAGCATATTGTGTAAAATAATAATTATAATTAATGTATGTGAATAATTAATATGTGCAAATGTTTTACAAAAGTGTTATGTATATTAGGTATACATATAAATACCAATATATATAAAAAATAGAAAAATGTGACCTAAATGAAACATTAATGGCCACAGAGTACTGAAACACTTTTTTTAATATTAAGGTAGCAGGAGAAACGTCACCTGAGACAAATAAATTTATACATTATGTTGGAATTAACCAACAACAGTTATACTT